GTTCATCTTCGTGGCGTCGTCTTTCAGACTCTCTGTACCGAATTTCTTCCTCATCTCTCCTTGCAACATAGTCCTGGCATCGAGAAATTTCCATCCACTTAATCAGTTGAAGGAGATCTTTGGACGCAGGCACCGCAGGAGAGCTTGCTTGCGACGAACGAGGAGATTCTGTGGATGATTGGGCGTTGTCACTGTGGGAAGTGTGGGGCATGAGTGTGGGTGGGGAGAGATCTCCCAAGCTTGAACTCATAACCCCATCGACCAGGGTATCTTTTTGATCCCTGTGAGACATGCCGACAGCTTCTGTACTCTATCTGTGCAAGAGACCGGGTCAACCCCTCGTAATCTATGCACAGAATTACAGAAGTCTAAAGTAATACACAAGAATTTAATATTCAGTGGGCCTGTGAGTGCATGTGTGTGTGTGTATGGCTCGTTGCTGGGAGGCTTGGCACGCTGCCAGACGTAGAGGCAGCTGGGCGCAAGTCACAACTGAACCGAAGTTGTCTTAATCCGCGCTGCTCAGTTACCCAATGACCATAGGCGGAAAGGGTTGTACTGCTGGGCAGCTCCCTCAGTCATCTGACTGCAGTTTGCACAGACAATTCTGACTAAAATACACAACACAGCACTTCACAGAACACTTCACTTCACAGCACAGCACTGTACACAGCATAGCACTTCACAACACTGTAAGTCCTGAGGCTTGTAGTCTGGCTGTAAATCCTTGGCGAAGCTGAGGACGAGACGCCATTAACACAGTCAGGCGGGAAGGCTAAGTTCACTCTGAATCTCACTGAGAAATCTCACTGCGCCATCTATGTTTGTCTCTGATACCCCCAAAATGTTCTACACTACGGAGGGTATACGCAAACACTTGTTATCTTGAAAATAGGTTTCTATTCTCGTACGGGAGGTATACAGAGGAAACAAATAGACAGTGGGCTTCCACACCATAAGGACTAGCGATCTCAACTCTCTGTATCACTCCGCGCTGGCATGTACAGATGCCAGCATTCACAAGCTGAATACATAAAATGTAAATATGATAATTCACATACATAACATGGTGCATAATAAATGGAAATATTACATAGGATTAATACATGTTCTGTAATACTTTACTATACATAACTAATAGAGTAATATAAGAATACACAGCTTAAGGTACTACTTCATGTCCATTTTATACAGTTTCCTGTCCTGTAACCACGCCCTAATCCATTTTAGAATATTACCTTTAATGCCATGTGCTTCTACCTTTCTTATTAGTCTTTCGTGGGGGACTCTGTCGAAGGCTTTGCTAAAGTCGAGATATACCACATCATAATTGTGCCCCTCGTCCATCGATTCGAAAACTGATGAAAAGAATGTTAATAGATTAGTTAGACATGAACGCCCGCTTGTGAAGCCATGCTGGGAATCATTGATCAATTTGTGCTTCTCCAGGTGGTTTCGAATAGAGTTTGAAATGATTGCTTCCAGTAATTTGCCTACAATTGATGTTAGACTGATTGAACGGTAGTTTGAGGATAGTGATCTATGCCCCTTCTTGAAAATCGGTTTTACATTCTCTATCCTCCAGGATTCTGGTACTACACCTGTTTTTAGGGACATGTTAAACAACTTTGCTAAGGGCATACTAAGCTCTTCCTTACATTCCTTTAATACTCTGGCAAATATCTCATCGGGACCAGGTGACTTATTAGGCTTTAGTTTGTTTATTTGCTTACTAACATCGTTATTAATCACTACTACCTCGCTTAATTTGTTTTTTTCACTATCTCTGAATAGAGTCGGTGCCTCGGGTATCATGTTTAAATTTTAGGTGGTGAAAACTGTTGAAAATTATTTATTCAGATTATTACTCATTTCTCCGTCGTTATCAGTTAGCTCGCTGGTATCTGACTGTATTGGCCCAATCTTTTCTCGTGTTTTAGTCTGATACATTTGATAGAATCCCTTGGGGTTTGTCTTCGCCTCCCTTGCTATCCTCAGCTCATTATTCCTCTTTGCTTTCCTTATCGTGGTCTGAACCCTACCGGCCAATACCTTATAATAATCCTGGAGGTAAATTTCTCCACGATTTATCCTCCTACCAATAGCCTTCCTTTGACCAATAATGTTTTTTAAATAATTATTTATCCATTTAGGGTCATTGTTGTTTGATCTGAGTTTTTTGTATGGTATGTTCTGCCTTTGCGCATTAAGTATCTCCTTATTTAAATTGTTGTGGAACTCGGCAACCTCAGATCTCGTTATGAGGACGGTTTCAACCGTCAGGTCCATGTAGTTCACCCCCAAGCGTGATGCCCCTTCTCTCAACTGCCTCTTCAAACTATCATAGTTTGCCCTTTTGAAGTCTGGGACTTTTGTGGAATTTTCCTTACAGCTGCCCTGAAAATCAAACTTGATTCTAATTTCTTTGTGATCGCTGTTTGCAAGTTCGTTCCCTACCTCGACATTACTAATGAGGTTTTCTCTGTTAGACAGAACTAAATCGAGTATATAATTACCCCAGGTGGGTTCGGTTATATGTTGACTTAGGAAACAGTCCTGGATCGTTTCAAGAAAATCGTCTGATTCTTAGTTACCCGTAAGGTCAATCCAATCTATTTGGCCAAGGTTAAAGTCGCCTACTATACAGACTTTGTTGTGTATGGAAGCCCTGCGCATTTCCTCCCAGGTAAATCGCTCATTAACTCTATCAAGATTGGGAGGTCTATATATTACTCCTGTGATTAATTTATCCCTACCGGCAATTAATTCTATCCAAATTGTTTCTGTATTCTGCTCAGTTTTTATTTCCTTATTTATTTCACACTTCAGATTATCCCTGACATAGATTGCTACTCCGCCTCCTTTCCTAATCTGCCTATCGGTATGGAATAATTTGTAACCTGCAATTTGGTATTCGACAGGTAACTCACGTGAGTCTAGGTTGATCCATGTTTCAGTGAATGCTGTTATATCGATTTTTTCGGTACATACCAAGGCCCTAATATCATCCATTTTGTTTCTCATACTTCTACTGTTCGCGGAGTAGACATTTAAGTTAGTCGTGTTCTGAGTCCTCCCTTTGCCGCGTTTAGGTTTTAACTCACTGTCTAATTCACTTTTGTCATCATTCCTAACACTTTTCCCTGTAACCTTTCACTTGGTTTACCCACTCCCACTGCAGTCTCCTCCACCCCCGTGCTCACATGTTCCCCTAGCAGTTTAAAGACTTCAACATCTTTTGGACTGCCCTTTCGAGAGTCCCAGCCAGGGTTGCTACTCCATCCCTAGACAGATGCATCCCACCCCTAGCATAAAGGTCCCTTCTGCCGTAGAAGTTCTCCCAGTTGTCAATAAATGGGACTGATACTGACTTGCAATATCTGTCAAGACGGCCGTTGACACCAACTGCCCTTGACAACCATACATTGCCAACTCTCCTTCTAGGCAGGACACCACATATGAGAGGGATCCCTCCCTTAGACCTAACACGTTCTATAGCTGTCTTGTACTTATCAAGAAGCTCTTCACTCCTACACCGGCCAATATCATTGCCTCCTGCACTAAGTCAGATAATGGGTTTGTTCCCATTACCAGACAAGATATTGTCCATCCTGTCAACTATATCCCCCACCCCAGCTTCAGGCAAACACACCCTCATCCTATTTTTATCTTTACCGCAAAAAGCTCTGTCCGTGTACCGTACCGTTGAGTCGCCAACAATCAAGATTTTCTTACCTTCCTTGTCAGCCTTGTCGTTGACTACACTAACGTCCAATTCATCTATCAAGGGACTGAAAGAGTTGGTACACTTAGCTGCTGTTGTCGTTATTGTCGTATCCTTGGTGTGTTTTTTCACCACTAGTTTGGTTGTCCCTGTCCTCACAACCTTCCATTCGCCTGAGTTTCGTCATTCACCGGCTTTCCTTGCCTCGTTTCTTCCTTCAACCTTGCCAGCTCTTCTTTTAATTTCAAGATATTTTCCTTGGCCCTCTCCAACTCGGCCCTCAGAGGGCACAGCCCTGCTCACAAGTAGCACGAGCCATTACTGATAGTTTATCCCCGGGAGCTAAGACGCTGTGACTTTTCCTCTAGCGAGGTCAGAAGACAACTGAACAGAGGTCAGTGGGTGAGGAGCAGGCAGGCAGGCAGAGGCAGGCAGACAGGAGCAGGCAGGCAGAGGCAGGCAGGCAGAGGCAGGCAGGCAGGAAGCAGGCAGGCAGGCAGGCAGTAGGTAGCGTTCCACACCTGGCTGGCGCGGTGCTCTCTCTCTTTAATGAGGAGTTGGTGTATGATAATATTCTGTAATTGATATTATGTCACAAACATAGGTGCAATACCATTGATGAAAATTAGTTTGGTTAAATAATAAACAATAATAGAATTTCAGATTCAACTAGACAGATGTAGCAAAACCACTCTCTCTCACTCTCACTCTCACTCTCACTCACTCTCACTCTCACTCTCACTCACTCTCACCCTCTCTTTCTTTCTCTCTCTCATTCATAACACCAAATATTAATAAGTTGAATACAACATAATATAAATCTAGTATAGTTAACAGTATTATACCACGTTAATGAAAGACAGATAGTTTCCGAGTTAAACGGAACGCACAGGTGCTGAAAGGTCTCTGCGTTGAGTAGTCTGGCGCTGAAATGGGCTGGCGCTGAAAAGGCTGCGCTGAAACGGCGGCGCTGAAACGGCGGCGCTGAAACGGCGGCGCTGAAACGGCGGCGCTGAATTGGGCCATCCCCAGCCTCTGGTAACCAGTGGTGGAAGTTGGGTAAGCCGTGAAAGGAGGAGGGTCGTAACAATAATACCAAATTATACCTCTGCATAACAGTATTATTATATTTGTTGCCACCACGGCAATCCTAGGTTAGGTTACGTTTTAAGTCGTTTGGTGGCAACAAATGCAATTTTACCAATAAAATAATCTCCAAATCTAAAATAATTTCCAACCTTACGGATAATATTTATACAAGGTACTTACGTTGCAGACGCCTGATAGAGACGGAAGTGTCACTGGGAGACCACGACCTTGGGGTAGTAGAGCCCGGCAGTGTGGTCACCCGGGCGAAAAGCGTCGTCGTTCATCAAGAGTTTGACTCATTCAGCATGGTTAGTATCCTGCATTTCCCACTTACTCCAAAGCATGTAAATAGTCTAATAATCTGACCTGTGTATGTACAGTACAGCATAGGGTTATTACTACCAAGGAATAAAAGAAAGTTGCGTCTTAGCAGGTCGGTGAAATTCTCAAGTTGGCATGTTTTTACTCTGCGGCACCTTGTCCATGCCCTCTTAATACCTCCCATACGTTTATATTACTACAATAAAGTTAAAATACCTTTTTAAAACATAAAAACTGATGAAGCCCGACATTCACTTTAAATGGACTAAAAAAAGAAAAGATAGCTTAGTCATAACATGGATCTGCAACAATGGGCACAGTGGCTTTTGCTCTTACTTTAAGAATTCTTGAATCGGTTGGAGCTTCCTGAGGGAAAAAGCTGGAGTACGGCGTCTTGTGATAAATCGAGGGCCAAGAACTTTTTCGGAGTGAGAGTCGTGAACTCTTGGAACAATCTACCAGAAAGTGTTGTGACGGCACCGAGTGTGAGCTCTTTCAAGACAAGACTTGACCAACACTGGAGCGGGTTCAGGTACATTCAGGAGCCGGTGCATGCCCAGTATTTGCCAACAGTGCGTAACAGAGACGTGACCGATCGCCCAAGCGGCTAACGAGGTTTTATATAAAACCATCCCAAAAAACTCATAAATACCTGTATAGTAAATGGAGGATTGACCCAGATGAGATAATTGCTGAGTAATCTATTACAATTGGCATATATCATACGAAGGATTTTGAAGCAACATGGCTCGGTGGATTTACCAAGACTTTAAGTAATAAGCAAACCTTTGCCACTATCTTTGTTTGAAGATAATGGTGACATACGCACTGCAAAAGCAAAATCAGGATTGAGGAGTAAGCTACAAGTAGAAATCTCTAGCCGTCTGCTTAAGCATTCTGATTTTATAATACTTGATGGTTGTGCTTTATTGTGGGGGTAATTCACTGGGCAACTAATGGAACAGAAATTATACAGACAATATTTTGGCATATATGTAGGCGATGGTTACCTAATAATTGGCAGATACTATGCCCATAGTACAGTATAAAGGAAGTACATGCCTACCATGAGTTGGAAAAGAAGCCAGCAGACGCCACCAGTTACTGTACATAGAGCCCGGCGGTGACATGTCTGCACTGGGGATATTACCACATAAGAAAAAAATATTTTTCAAGCTAATGAAATTCGTGAACAAGGTTGATCTGGATATAAGCGTTAGTGTGATTATTAAGGAAGTCATCCCACTGAGGGGTATATCTCTTGGTCAGATGAAATAAATTGTGCTTGCCCGGTGGATGACACTAGCCATAAGGGCCTATACCCAGGCAGCGGAACGGGGCTTTTAAAGGGACCTTGAAGCTAAGGCCCTGCTATCAGGACACAGATTAGAAACAATTATCACAGTAATAGTAAGGATCAATATTATGATTATTATTAAGCCGACAGTTAGAAGTCCATTGCTTGGTAAACTGGTGAGCTTAAGGCTGAGTAGATCTGTGCAGAGTCTGCACTCTCCCCCTCCCCCTCCTCCCGAACAGCAACAACCATTGGGGGGGGGGGGGCGAAACCAGGGGATAAAGCGATACCAGGAAATCTGTTGACATTTAATTACTGCGGGGTGAAGACCGAGGAAGATACAACGTTTAGGACGGTACAACTTGTTGTAAAGAATAAAGGCTGTTGCTGGTATTGCCCTGGCTGCATAGTAAAGATGAGAGAGGCGATTGCAAACCATAGGGAAATGAGTTTCCTAGGGATGAATATAGATGAAGTTGGATCCGTACTGGTTGCCAAACTGGAACAAGTTGAGAAAGAGATCTTTGTTAAGACTGAAGTAGTAGCTGATAGAATGGAGGTGGTAGCGAAGAGGAGTTATGCTCGGGCCTTAACAGGGCTACGGGAGGTAGCGGAGAGTAATGCTAGATCAGAACCGGTTCTGCAGCAGCTAGGGACTCCGAAGTGTGTCAAAGAGACGACAGCTAGCAGACCTACCGTTAGGGGAGAGGAGGAGCAACGGGATCGTCTCCAGCGCAGGAACAACGTAATAGTTTATGGAGTCCCCGAGAGCCAGGCGGATGAAGCGGAGACTAGGAAAACACACTATAAGATGCAGTTTGTGGATATTTGTTCTGATTACGCCACCCCCTTCCCCCTCAGGATGAGAGGAGTCTGGGACAAAGGCACGGGGACAAGCCTCGCCCACTCAAGATCACACTAGTGAGTGAGGAGGAGAAATGGGAGGTTATCCGGCCTGCAAAAAACTTAGCAAAGAGCGAGACATTTCAGAATGTATTCATTCACCCAGATCGCACGGTAATGCAGAGGGAACAGTGCAAGAAGCTCCTGCAAGACTTGAAGCAGAGGAGGGAGGAGTCGAGGAGGAACGGGGACAGGTGTACATGGGTTATATTCAGGGGGAGGGTAGTGGAAGCAAGTGTGCCGACACAGAGCCAGGGGGCAGCGGCGCACCCACCACCCGTTCGCCCCAGCCGAGAGGAGGTGAGCGCCGTGTAAACAATGACATTTCTAACCACACCCTGCAAAACACAGTGTACTTAGCAAATTCTGCATCTTCTGAGAATGGAGGAGAGCCGGAGTTACTGCTAAGAGCAGAGACGTTACCGAGAACAAATTCTGGCTTGAATGTCATGTACACTAATGCTGACACGTTCCTTGATAAGAGAGAGGAGTTTAAAACACTACTGAAGGTACACCAACCAGATATTGTAGGAGTTGTAGAACTGTTTTACAAAAACAGGAGAATCGATCCAGAGGAATGTAAGTTCAGTATTGCTGGATATGACTCATTTACGAACCTTTCTCAAGAAACTTGCAAGAGGGGTGTGGTTATCTACGCTAGGCAAGACCTTAGAGCCAGCCAGGCGAGGGTACAGGGAGAGGATGTTTTTGAAGAGTCCAAGTGGTGTAAAATTAAACTAAAGGGAGGAGACTTACTTATTGTTTGGTGTATCTACAGATCCCCAAACTGTGGCCCACTAAATGAAAGGAACTTAAAAGCCTTAATAGACAACGCAGCGATGCTCAACCCTAGCCACCTCCTTATCATGGAAGACTTTATGGCGACCTCGACTGGAGAAACGAGTTCACGCCAAATGCCTTAAATAACCCTGCAACTCTTTTTTGTAGAAAATCTGACATTATTTTATGTTTCAACATGTTAAAGACCTGACATATTATAGAGGGGGGCAAACACCCAAGCACTAGACCTCATCATAACAAACGAAGAGGGTATGGTGGCCAAACTGGAACATCTAGCCCCAGTTGGCACCAGTCCCCATGTACTGTTGTCAATCAGATTTAACTGTTACCTAGTTCAAGATGAAGCCAGGTCAAGGTGCAAATATTACAAAGGAAATTACAACGGGATGAGGGAAGAGATGAGGGGTATCCACTGGCCTGACTCACTTAGGCACAAGAACGCAGACACTACGCTGAATACCATAACTAGTAAAGTGACCCATTTGATCGATAAATATGTACCCAAGACCAAACCCAGTGCCACTAGGAATACGAGGGGGCCCCTACACATGAACCATACGGCGGCCGACAAAGTTAAGAAGAAAAACCAGAAATTCAAGGAGTGGGTTAGGTCAAACAATGAGCAGAACAGTAGAATGTATGCAAGAGCCAGAAACCAAGCAAAGTCAGAGTGTAGGAGGGCTGAAAAGGACTTCGAGAGGCTTCAAGATTGTAGTTACGCAGATTCTAACCAGGATAAAGCTGAGGCATTGAACAGCTTTTTCTCCTCGGTGTTCACATGAGAGGAGCGATGAACCTTCCTCTGTTTGAGGACAGACGGTTCGGCACAGCACTGACCCACTATGTGTTCACAGAAGAGGTTATATGAAATAAACTGTCAAAGCTAAAGGTCCATAAGAGTCCCGCCCCTGAAATGGTGCATCCCAGAGTGCTAAGAGAGTTGTGCAACGAGCTTGCCGAGCCCCTGAAGATCCTATTCTGTAAATGCCTGGATGAACAAATGGTCCCCAGTGAATGGAAAATAGCTTATGAGAGTCCTATCTTCAAGAAGGGTGATTTTCATTCCACGAACAGCTATAGACCGGTGAGCCTGACCAACATAGTATGCAAAGTACTTGAGAACATTATAAGAGATGCCACGATGGAACATCAACTACGAAACAACCTTGTAAAGGATTGTTAACACGGTTTTTTATGCCGGTGCGCTCCTGCTTAATACAATTACTCAAGGTATTGGATATTAAATTGGACCCAATATTTTGGACCAGGGTGGAAATATCAACAATATATACCTATATTTTGCCAAGGCTTTCGACAGTGTACCCCTTGAAAGGCTGAAATTAAACTGGAAGGGTACGGAATTCGGGGAAATGTCCTCGCGTGGATAGAAGACTTTCTACATGACCGCAAGCAGTGTGTGGTGGTTAATGACACGAAATCATCAACTGTACCTGTCATAAGCGGGGTACCACAGGGCAGTGTATTGGTCTCGTTGTTATTTGTTTGTTTCATAAATGAAATGCCTGACGCTGTACACTCCTCCACATATATGTTTGCGGATGACGGCAAGTTATTTCTGGAAATCAAGAACCAAGAAGACTGTGAAGAGCTGCAGAAGGATCTCTGTGAGCTCCAAGAATGGTCGAAGAAATAGCTGTTGAGATTCAATGTCACTAAGGGTAAGAGGATGCACCTGTTCCGTACCATCGGTAAGGAGGCGTATCATATGTCCCAACGGGATGAAGAAACTGCACTATTTGAGACTGAACGTGAGAAGGACCTAGGCGTGTATGAGCTGAAGTTCTCGGTCCATTCCGAGAAAAAGGTAACTCAGGCAAATAAATTATTAGGTCTTAAAAGAAGGTCGTTCGGAAAAGTTCAAAGTTCAAAGGAGGGCCACCAGACTGGTGCCTGCTCTTCAGCACCTCAAATACCCTGAGAGATTGGATCGTCTGAACTTGCCTAGCTTATACTACAGACGGGCAAGGGGCGACCTATTGAAGTGTATAAGCATCTTAAGGGGCACTACTCAGTCGAGTGTCCTTACTTGGTGTTGGCGGGCGCTCGCCCCACAAGGGGTCACAGCTCAAGGTTGAAGAAGCCGCGGGCGCAGAAAATCGTGAGGGGAACTTTTTCGGAGTAAGAGTTGTGAACTCTTGGAACAATCTGCCAGAGAGTGTTGTGACGGCACCGAGTGTGAGCTCTTTCAAGACCAGACTTGTCCAACACTGGATCAGGTTCAGGTACATTCATGAGCTGTGCCTGCCCAGTACTTGCCAACAGTGCGTAACAGAGACGTGATCGAGCGCCCAAACGGCTTACGAGCCGATCAGTGGTGAGGAGGATAAAAGTAAAAAAGTAAAAGTTACACAGTGGCGTGTCCAGGGGGCGGATTTGGTTTGGCAAGACCCCCTCCATCCCCACCACTCAGAAGTGGTGAGATTTGTACGGTGATAGGTCGTTGAACAAATTAATTTATTCAACTTCGAGCGCAACGCAATAATTATTATGAGGTCTACACTGTTCAGCTTAGTCTGCCATTGATAGAAATAGAAAAAAATGGTTGCCGGTCAGCTGAGCGAGAAGCCGGTAGTTCTGATGGGGCAACAGTAATGAGTGGGAAACACTTTGGAGTGGCAGTCAGAATAAAAGCAGAAGCTAAGCATGCCTTCTATATACACTGTAATGCACACTGCCTAAACCTGGTGCTAGTTGACGCTGTGAAGTCAGTTCCTGAGGCTGAATGATTTTTTTCGCTGCTTCAGAAGCTCTACGTGTACATAGCAGGGAACTATGTGCACCAGAAGTGGATGGATGTTCAGGGGGAACTTGCAAAACTTAGCGACACCAGGTGGGCATGTAGGTACTTGGATTGCAGGAATCTAATGGATAGATTACCTACTATATTATGTGTTCTGCATGAGATAGACCTTGAAAACAGTGGAGATAGATCTGTTGAAGCTCGAGGTTTCCTTACACAAATAGACCTCACCTTTATTGGTCTTCTTACAACTTTTCGAAAACTCCTTGGGGATACTAAGTTGCTATCTGACATGCTACAATCGCCTTCGCTTGACCTTGCTAGGACGGTGAATTTGGTTGAAGCACTTCAGGATACAATTCAGAAGTACAGAAACGAGTCGTTTGTTGAGGAAACGTTTCTCTAAACCAAACTGTGACAAGAAAGGAATACATGCCCTGGACCCAAAGAGCAAGAGTTTCTTGGAGGAGGAAGCTGTATTTCGCTTAGCAGAGATCTATGAGTGTGATGTTGAAGATACCAGCCATGAGCTGCACCAAGCAAAGAGGATTTTGGAAGGGAAAGCTCAAAGTGGAATGAGAAGCTGTCCAGTGTATTAGAGCTGACGGTGTTCCTGGAGCCCTACAAAGAGGTCTTTAATGATAATGAACTGTTCCGTCTGTGCACGATTGTCTTGGCCCTCCCAATAAGCAGCGCTGCCTGTGAGCGCAGCTTCTCAGCTCTTAAACTAATAATGAACCATTTTTCGCACAACTATGGCGGACAGCAGACTGAGTAGCCTGGGTGTTCTCGGCATTGAGGTTAGAACAGTTAAGTCATTAGACATGGACGAGTTTATTAAAATGTTCACTATCCAGCACGAAAACAGGAGAATTTAGCTGTTCTAAAGGTGTATATAGCTTTGCAATATAAGGGTTGTGGCTTTGAACTTTGTGGATTTTATGTTCTTTTTTTTTGTGCTCATGTATTACAGTGTGGTGAACCGGCCCTTAACCATTGATTCTTGAGGCGTTAATGGGCGAGGACATGTCAAAGTATTTAGGGTTTTTAGTAGCGAAAATCCAGCTGCCTTTTCTATATTTATTAAGAAAGTATATTATATACAGTTCCAAGTGTATATCACCGTAACTTAATCACTGTAGCTATGAGTGTTAAATGAGGACGGAGGCTATGTTAAATAGCTCTTCTAAAATACGTCCTGTTGGTGTGAGGGGTTGAGTAAGAGTGCCTGTAATACCCGTCGAGGGAGAACGGTAATATATCCGGCGTCCTCCCTCGAGGGAAGACGGAACCCTCCACGAAGGCTCTCAATAACGTCTTCCTCTAGTCAAGGATATCAAACTACTGCCTGCAATAGGTGGCCAGAGAGTCGGCTACTTAATGCCTTAGCTCAGCACTAAGTGACGCAACTTCCCGTGGGCACACCTTAACACGTGCTCTGAACATGTTACCTCATAACTAGTGGAAAGTTACAGAGGGTGCTAGATTATATAAGTCTAATGTAATTAACCCATTTATATAAATACTTCTGCCTATAAGACAGGGGCAATTACATCAATTTTGAACAATGTTCAGTATACTGTATTATTGAAATTTAATTACTATGTATCCTTATTACTCTTAGATGATTATTAGGTTACTGTGGTGTAACCTCATTTGGATATTACAGGTTGGGAGTAGGCTTGTTTGAATAGCTAAAATGCATTTTTTATTCCCTGAAAATATGATAGGTGGAAAACTGAAAAGCAGATGCATCTTGAGTTATCTTTGTTCTTCAACAGGTTTAAGTTGGTACTATTCTAGTAATTTTACTTTACAGTTATAGAAGACACTTTGTAAGTGGAATTAGTGTTGTATGCTCATTTTCTTAATATACCATCCTGGCCTTGAGTTCAAACATGGAAATAGATAATGTCATGAGTTTTGAAATTGATGTAAGAATTATTTCAATAGGAAGATGTACAAACCTAACTTGAAGCATTAAATTCATTGAACCACTGTATTTACTCATTTCCATCACATGGCATTCATTTGAAATTTGATATGCCTTGCCCCCCCCCCCCCCCCCCCTTCCCACCGGGTCTGTGCCCCACCTCGGCCACCCCATCCAAAATCTCTTGGACATGCCACTGAATGTACAGTACACGACAATGATAAAGAGTTTTGAATTCAAGAAATAGATGGATGATTATAATGAAAGGGAGAGAGAACAGGCACTGTATACTAAGGAATTGGAATCATGGAGTATATTTTTTAACAGAATAACGACATAGCGGTGTTGGAGTTACAAGAGCCCGTCACATTCACAGACAGGATCAAGCCCATTTGTTTGGCCACCTTAGAGGAAACCCCTAATAATGGCTTAGCTGTCTCCTCGGGTTGGGGACACCAATCTTATGGTTAGTAATGATAACGATAAAAGTATATATATATATATATATATATATATATATATATATATATATATATATATATATATATATATATATATATATATATATATATATATATATATATATATATATATATCATTGGGAACTGCCCGTGCTGCTTATGCGGATGTCAGTAGCATTTTACCGAATCCAGCTGGTATGAAACACGAGGTACCATGTATACTTCATTTTTAGTCCATATAACCATTATATGGACTAAAAATGAAGTATACATGGTACCTCGTGTTTCATACCAGCTGGATTCGGTAAAATGCTACTGACATCCACATAAGCAGCACGGGCAGTTCCCAATGAGAGGTTCATATATATATATATATATATATATATATATATATATATATATATATATATATATATATATATATATATATATATATATATATATATATATATATATATATATATATATATATATATATATATATATGGCGAGGCTCCACATTGTCTCACTGTAGTGCATTAAGGTAGACCACATTTTTGGTTTTGCCATTAGCAGCAAGTATGTACAGATTTTTGCCAGTTCCCACTCTGGAGCATCCAACATAGAACTGTCCACGAGAGAAGCAAGGAAACACCAGGTTTAGGCCAACCATCTTTATGGACTGTCCCTGGCTTTTGTAGATGGTCATGGCAAAGCTCACTTTAACCGGGAACTGAAGTCGCTTGAACTCAAATGGCAGGTCAGTGGTGATGAGAGGTATCCTTGGTACAAAAACGTCCTCTCCTTTAGCTTTTCCTGTCAGTATTGTAGCTTCCAGCACATTTGGCATCATGTTCTTCTTGTGAGCGACTCGTCTCTCATTTTGAGTATGATGTCTCGTTTCTCAAACTCTTGACCGACAATCAGGATGGCTACTTCATCAACTACAGGAGCATACATACGTGTTGCGCTCAGGCAGCATTTCTTGGATAGATAGGACAATGTCATGTCTGACACCTTGAATATTGCCACACCTGATAGTAGTCTGCTTTTCATGATTTCCCATGAAGTAGATTTGGAGGAACTTTGCCTGCTCATCTTCCAGTGGTAAGAGGGATCCTGCTTTGTGATAGACTTGACCCTGGACTTTGAATGTTGGTATGTATCCGTGCTCACGAACTACTCTGGTAGCTCCAAAGGATGTTACCTGGAAGCATGAATTGTACTTCAGTATATTTTCCAAGAAGTGTTTCGACTCTGGTGTTGTTCCCAGCATGAGAGTCTTCAATGGTTGTGGTGGTTTTTCAAAATTTGGCAGTCGTACTTTGGTAGTGTTCACATTTCTTATCCATGTTGCCAAGACAACAGGGGGATACTTTTCATATTCTATCTCATTGTCATAGTTAAATGCTGCTCTTGCAAGTGGATGCCACTGTGTATTCTTTCTTAGAATTCTGGATCCTGCAGCTCTCTGTCTATTAGCATTCAAACGAATTTCATGCCCTTCATCATTTTCTAGAGAAGGCCTTTCTGCTGTTTGTTATCTGTCAGCATTAAGACGGGATTCCCTTTCCTAATCTGTGTTTGTTTGTGTGTTTGTGTGTGTGTGTCCGCACGAGAATCTCGGAAACTACTTTACCGATCTGTGGTGATGATGGATGGTGTTATATGTAGTGATGATGGATGGTGTTATAAGTAGTGATGATGATGGATGGTGTTATATGTAGTGATGATGATGGATGGTGTTATATGTAGTGATGATGATGGATGGTGTTATATGTAGTGATGATGATGGATGGTGTTATATGTAGTGATGATGGACGGTGTTATATGTAGTGGTGGTGGTGACGGTGGTAGTGACAGTGGTAGCGGTGGTGATGGTGATAGTGGCATGTTTGTGGTGATAGTGGTGATGGTAGAGACTGGTTGATAGTAGTGGTAATGATGGTGGTGGTAGTAGTGATGGTAGTGATGGTGGTGCTATATGTAGTGATGATGGATGGTGTTATATGTAGTGGTGATGATGGTGTTATATGTAGTGATGATGGATGTTGTTATATGTAGTGATGATGTGTGGAGTTATATGTAGTGATGATGGATGGTGTTATATGTAGTGATGATGGATGGTGTTATATGTAGTGGTGATGATGGTATTATATGTAGTGATGATGGATGTTGTTATATGTAGTGATGATGTGTGGTGTTATATGTAGTGATGATGGATGGTGTTATATGTAGTGATGATGATGGTATTATATGTAGTGATGATGGATGGTGTTATATGTAGTGATGATGGATGGTGTTATATGTAGTGATGATGTTATATGTAGTGCTGATGGATGGTGTTTAATGCTAAAAAAATATACTTTGCTGTACCGTTGTGAAAAACATGGTGGAACTTACATACACCGTTAATGAACTATTGATGGAAGAAGAAGTTTTGGGGACTGAACAGTGAGACAATGTGGAGCCTCCCGGAGGGTGGCGTCCTACCGTGCCCTAGCGGATGATGGGTGGTGTTATATGTAGTGATGGTCTATATATATAAAACAAAGAAGTCTGTCTGTCTGTTTGTTCACCTTTCTCTGGGATGCCATGACCTACTTCAGAAACTATGGACGACCAGATCTCTTCATTACTTTTACATGCAACCCTGTATGGACTGACATAACAGAAGCTCTAATGGAAGGCCAGAAAGGACAAGGTCGGCATGACATTATAGCGAAAGTATTTCGTCAGAAAGTGATCAAACTCATGGACTTGCTTACAAAAGCATCAATCTTTGGCCCTACACGGTGCTACATGTACTCCATTGAGTGGCAGAAACGAGGTCTACCACATGCCCATGTCTTGATCTGGTTGAAAGAGAAACTTCGACCGAACATGATTGACAACTGCATACGAGCAGAGTTTCCTCATCCAGAAGAAGATCCAGTTCTTTATGAGATCATCAAGAAGCAAATGATTAATGGGCCATGTGGACCATTCAACAGACACTCTCCCTGCATGAAAGATGGACGTTGCAACAAAAACTTCCCAAAAGACCTGATAAAGGATACTCAGAGTGGAGAAGATGGGTATCCTCAGTACAGGAGAAGAGCGCCAGGCGATGGAGGTTTTACAGCAGTGTTACGACCTGGAACAGACAGTGAAATAACAGTAAACAACAAATGGGTGGTCCCCTACAATCCTCTTTTGACTAAAGCATCAATGCGCACATCAATGTGGAGTTCTGCAATTCAGTCAAGTCCATCAAGTATGTTTGCAAATACGTCAACAAAGGCTCTCACCAAGCGATCTTTGCATTGGAAAAGGATGGAATTCATGATGAGGTGACACAGTTTCAGCAGGGCCGTTATATATGCAGCAATGAAGCCCTATGGAGAATTTTTAGTTTTCCCATACACGAACGATGTCCAACAGTAGTTCATCTGGCTGTTCACCTGGAAAATGGATAGAGTATACTTCACAGAAGAGTCTCTTCAAAATCAAATGGAAAATCCTGCTGATACGACTCTCACTGCATTCTTTAAGCTTTCACAGGAAGATGAGTTTGCTCAAATACTCCTGTATGTTGACGTACCGAAGTTCTACATATGGCAGGCTTCAATGAAAAAGTTTCAGAGAAGAGCTCAAGGATCCGATGTTGAAGGATATCCAGGGAAAAAGTCAGGCAATGCTTTGGGAAGTGTCTACACTGTTCACCCCAACAACTTTGAATGCTATTGTTTGAGACTACTTTTGCACCACATCCGTGGCCTAACATCATATGCAGCACTCAAGACAGTGAATGGACAAGTTTGCAGAACCTATCAGGAAGCGTGCAATCTCCTTGGCCTACTGGAAGATGATGGTCACTGGAATGACACATTAGAAGAGGCAGCAGTTACTCAATCGCGAATGAGAATGAGGAAACTGTTTGCCATCATGATTACTACATGTGGACTTTCCAACCCAAGCCAGCTCTGGAAAAACCACCAAGAAAGTCTTTCGGAGGAACTGCTTCATCAAGCAACAAGAGAACATCCTGGTCAAGAGATTGAGTTCATGCATGACATGTTCAACATGGCTGTGATCATGCTGGAAACAAAGTGATGGAGCTATGCGGAAAAAACCTGACTGATTTTGGATTGCCTTCCCCAAACCGAGAAGAACCAGTAGCTGCAAACAGGGAGTTGCTCAGAGAGACAGATTACTCAGTTGAAGTTCTGGTGAATTTTGTTAAAGAAAATGAGCCTCACCTGGTGCCTGATCAAGGAAATGCTTATGAATAGATCTTCCAAGAAATACAAGCGGAGCAGGAAGGTATGATCTTTCTTGATGCACCTGGCGGGACAGGAAAAACAGTCTTGATCAACCTTCTGTTGGCCAAAGTACGTCATCAGGGGAGAATTGCTCCTGCTGTGGCATCCTAAGGCATTGCTGTAACACTACTAGAAGGAGGACGTACTGCACACTCAACTTTTAAACTGCCTCTCAACCTCGCTCACAATGAGAATCCAGTGTGCAACATCAAAAAGGATCAGCAAAGGCAAAACTCTTAGAAAAATGCAGCCTCATAGTCTGGGATGAATGCGCTATGTCTCACAAGTTAGCGTTTGAAGCATTGGACAGGACCTTGCAAGACATACGAGAAAATGACCAGTTCATGGGTGGCATTACAATGGTCATTGCTGGAGACTTTCGCCAGATCCTACCTGTCATTCCTTGAAGCACTCCAGCTGATGAACTGAATGCGTGCCTCAAGGCATCATACCTTTGGAGAAGTGTTCAGACACTCACCCTATCCACAAACATGAGAGTACATCTACAAGGAGATCAGGATGCTGGACGGTTTGCAAACCTACTACAGATTGGGAATGGAACTTTCCCTGTTGATTCAGAAGGACAAATAATCATTCCTCAAGGATGGGGAAATGTTGTAAAATCCTCAACTGAGCTCACTAACATGGTCTACCCAAACATTATCCACCACTACAAGGATCACAAGTGGCTGCGTGAACGCGCAATTCTGGCACCAAAGAATGAAACAGTGGCTGAAATCAACATGACTCTACTCAGACAGCTTCCAGGCAGTGAGACCTCATTCAAATCTGTTGATACAGTAATCGACCAGGACCAAGCAGTCCAGTACCCTGCAGAATTCCTTAATTCTTTGGAGCCCGCTCGAATGCCTCCTCACCACCTCACTCTCAAGATTGGAACTCCTATAATGCTCTTAAGAAATCTTGAACCACCAATCCTCTGCAATGGCACAAGACTGGTAGTGAAGAACATGATGTCACATGTACTGGAAGCTACAATACTGACAGGAAAAGCTAAAGGAGAGGACGTATTTATCCCAAGGATACCTCTCCTCACCACTGACCTGCCATTTGAGTTCAAGCGACTTCAGTTCCCGGTTAAAATGAGCTTTGCCATGACCATCTACAAAAGCCAGGGACAGTCCATAAAGATGGTTGGCCTAAACCTGGTGTTTCCTTGCTTCTCTCGTGGACAGTTCTATGTTGGATGCTCCAGAGTGGGAACTGGCAAAAATCTGTACATACTTGCTGCTAATGGCAAAACCAAAAATGTGGTCTACCCTAATGCACTACAGTGAGACAATGTGGAGCCTCCCGGAGGGTGGCGTCCTACCGTGACCTAGCGAAAGAGCCGCCCGGAGGGCGGCAATTCCGCTAGTGTGTGTGTGTGTGTGTGTGTGTGTGTGTGTATATATATATATATATATATATATATATATATATATATATATATATATATATATATATATATATATATATATATATATATATATATATATATATATATATATATATATATATATATGATTTACACTTTTAAGCTGTTTTCCCAATCTATGGGATGATTATTGTTCCTTATATGAAGGAACAGTGCACTGCTTTCAGATGCTGTTCTAATACCTGTATTGTACTTGTGCTGTTTAATTTTGAGTTGCAATGCTTTCCCAGTCTGTTCAACATAATTTCCATTACATTTGCTACATGGAATACAGTAAACACTTCCATTTACATTCAAGGTTGGGCTATTCTTGATTAATATTTTATTGATAGTTGAGTCATACTTAAAAACAACATTAATATGTAATAATTTAAGGGACTGAACTAACGGGACAAATTCATTGCGATAAGGTAGAGTCAAAATATTCTGAAGTGTAGGAATTTGCCTGGTTTGAGTAGAATGAAAGGATTTTTTAGCCCCTTTAAAACAATAGCCTAATAAAAAAACAATGAAGGGTAAGGTACCCAAGTTTTTGTGCAATGGACTGAATGTGTTTCAGTTCTCCATCAATAAATTCAGGGTCACAAATTCGCAAACATCTCAAAAACATAGCAGAAAAAACTGACATTTTGGTAGAGTCATAGTGACTCGATAAAAAATGTATGAAACTGTCTACCTGTGTAGGCTTTCTGTACATCTGAAATTTATAGTTATGACCATTTCTCATGATAAGCATATCAAGAAATGGAAGGGATTCATTTATTTCTCTTTCAATTTTTAATGTAATACTTGGGACAAAATCATTAAGCTTGTCTAAAAATTCCAATGGGTCACTGTTTCTAGGCCAAAGACAAAGAACATCATCTACATATCTATACCATGGAGGAATAAAGTCACTATATTGGGTAGTAATCTATCCTCAAAAAACTCCATATAAATACAGGCTAAAGGAGCAGAAAGACAATTACCCATGCTCATACCAAATATTTGCTTGTAAGACTTCCCATTTGCTCTTAACACATTATCAGTAACGCATAACTCTATCAATTTGAGAAAAAGTATCATGTTCAATAGTCAAATCTAACAGTTGCAATTTATCTTTAAGAAATGAAAGTAGGTCTTTCACTGGTACTCTAGTGAAAAGTGAATTTACATCAAAACTTATTAATTCACATGGTTCATTGTGTTTCTCGAGATTATCAATTAAATCACTGCCGTTGTGTATATGTGAATTAGATATTTGGCCTGTAAGAGGGGATAGCATGATGTTCTTTGTCTTTGGCCTAGAAACAGTGACCCACTGGAATATATATATATATATATATATATATATATATATATATATATATATATATATATATATATATATATATATATATATATATATATATATATATATATATATATATATTGAAAAATAATTCAACCTACTTACTACAGTTAACCTAACCTAACTTGAACTGACCTATAATAACTGTACCAACTGGTGCAGGGGGGTCGAAATCTGATATATTGCAGAAAGTAACACTGGATGTGATCACCAACGAGTACTGTGACACATTGTACGCAGGGTTCTACGAGATAACAGAAAACATGATCTGTACCTACACCCAGAACAAGGATGCCTGTCAGGTAATAGCTCTTACTAACCCTCCCTTTTTCAAACATTCGTACAGTAGCCTAAAACTCTCCCATAACTTGCTATGATTTTTTTTCTCATGATGTTTTGTTCATTAGTTTTGTGTATTTGCTCAGTAAGCAAGTTAAATGTATTCTTGTCTCCAGTGAATTTTGATAAATGATATTGAAGCAGTTTATTTAGCCAGAAAAAACGCAGATTGAGTCCATAATAATGACACTGCTGTATTAACATGGCTGAGCCAGTTAAGAGCGTGAGGTCTCTGGAAGGCAATTAATATATACTGTACATTTATCTCAAGGAAGTATTATGTAACATTTTGTATCATGTGGAATAGTACACGTAGCATGGTGGTAGTAAGAACATATCAGAATGTTACCACGTTATTTATATATTTTATTTATTTTATTTTTTCACAATTATATTATAAGTATAAACATATTTTAAAATGGTGTTGATATTCAGAAATATCATAAGGAGGGAAAGCGGTACAACATGGGTTGTATTAAGGTGGAACAAGAGGACAGAGCTGCCAGTATCATGTCTAGTGGGCAACTATAATTATTGCAATGGTAATTTCTATCAATCTACTTGGCAATCTATGATATAATGGTTTTGGTGGTACAATATAAGCAATAATATAAAGTAGGTATTACAAGAATATTAATACTTAAACATACTTAGAGATGATTTAAAGGAAGGGAGCGTAGTCTTTTCTCGGATGGGTGGGGATAAGTTGCCCCACACCTTCACACCATGATATTTTATGGAGATCTGGGACAGAGGGGAGCTCATGGGGGGTGGTCTTAAGTTGTATCTCTGATTATTCCGGAACTGGAAATAATTATTGTCAATCAAGTGATTGACAGATTTGTAAACAAATAGGGCACAGCAATAAGTGTTAATATCCTCGAATTTAAAAAAAAAATTCAATGTAGCAAATTGTTCGTTAGTGTGATCAGTTTTTTTTTCAAGTAGGTCATTGTCTGCACAACTCTCTTCTGTGCAGTAATATGGGGTTGTGTTTTTGAAGAGCCAGAGGCCCCCATAGTGTGTGACAGTGTATCAAGTGTTGGTAAACAAGCTCATAATATATTTATCTCATTGCTACAAGAGTGAGTGAATGACGAGTGTGATACAGAATACCGCACTGTTTATTGACTTTACTGTGAATGGCTTGCACTGTCTGTGGTTTCTCCTGCTAAGTTTCTCATCAACAATAACCCCAAGGGATTTAACATTTTGTTCACGTTTGAGGACTGTATTACCAAGGTACAGGGAGTCTAAATCTAGGGGTAGGGTTTTCTTTCTGTGAAAGAATGTGTAGTGGGTTTTACCTTGAGGGACGCCATACAAAACTGGTGAGGAGTCAAATAGATGATTATCATAGCAGACATACTGTTTCCTGTTAGACAGATATGAGGTAAACCAATTGTAGGATAAGCCCCTAACGTCGTAATGTTCAAGCTTTGACAGGAGGATGGTATGGTCGACAGTATCGAAGGTCTTAGAGAGGTCCAGGAATATACCGACTGTGAACCGACTGTCATCAAAGGAGTTTAAGATGGCATTAGTACAGGCTAGCAGAGCACTCTCAGGTGACCTTCTAGCTCTAAATCTAAACTGAGAGTCTTTAAGGATGTTATTGACACTGCAGAAAGAATTTAATCTACTACATGCTAGCTTCTTCAGTATCTTACTTAGGGCTGGTAAGACTGATATGGGGCGGTAATTCTTGAAAAGACCTTTATCCCCAGAATTTATATATTCTGGGTGAACTTTGGGAATTTTCAGTTTATCCGGAAAGACACTGTGGGGTTTTGAGATATAGGTTCATACTCAGGATGGGTTGGAGAAAGGAAACTCACAATATGCTCTCTGTATACATATTGTATTAGATGTACAGTGCAGCTTGGTGCTGGGAAGTGGCAGCGTGGTTACAAGCGTAGAGTAGAGAGAGCTGGTTGGTGAGGGTGCTCAGAGGAGGACACGCAGCTTGTGGGGCGCCATAGTCGCCGGCGAGAGCGAGAGCCACCAGGCAGGAGCAGAGGAGGTGTTGCTTGTTGGTGGCTGTAGGTAAAAGAGGGCTGGTCACGGCGGGGTGAGGTCTTATATAGCGGGGGTAGGTGTGGGTTGATAGTTGACCTCCGCCTTGTTAGGCGGGCGGCGCTGGTTGCCGACCTAGACCACGAGGAGTAAGCTGGGGAATTCGAAGAGGGTCGGCTAGTCAGCAACAAACGGCAGTTGTTGTAGGGGAGATATCCACTACAACACCACTAGTGAAGGAGGAGTTACAAATGTGTAGGAGAACAGGTAGTAATAAGTGGGATACTTTCTTGATGATGTCCATTGGTATTTTACTTTTATCCTCTTCACCACTGATCGGCTCGTTAGCCACTTGGGCGATCGGTTACGTCTCTGATTACTTTTCCTTTTCATTTATCTTCTTCACCAAAAGATCGGCTCGCTAGCAGCCCAGGCGATCGGTCACATCTCTGTCACGCACTGTTGGCAAGTACTGGGCATGCACCAGCTCCTGAATGTACCTGAACCCGCTCCAGTGTTGGTCAGGTCTTGTCGTCGCTTGCTGCTGCATCTTTGGACACTTTTATGATGGTCAATAATTCACCTGCTGTTATAGGGTATAACAACAGCTCATTTTGCTGTCGGTTTTGCAGGTTGGCTCTAAATTCCTCTTGGTGGTTAGGGATGCCCTCTGCAAGATTTTTGCCAACATTGATAAAATAATCATTGAAGTGGTGGTAATGAGGGAGGGTTCCGTTACAACTGTATCATTTATCATAAAAGCTGAGTAGGGGGGCGTAGGTTGAGTGTTCCTTTTCTGAATAGAATTGATGATACTCCAAGTTTTCTTACTGCTGCCTGATGTTGACTGGAGCTTATTTGTATAATAGCTACGCCTGGCATTTCCAATTGCTTGAGTTACTCTATTTCTGATACTTCGGTAAGCATCGCCGAAAGTTAAAAGTCTTTTTGCAAATTTTCTTTGGAGTTTGTGTTTCATTTCATGTGTAATATAGGGTTTGGAGATCGATACAGTTTTTATTAACTTAGTCTTGAGGGGGAAGCATTTATCAAAGCAAGCATTGTAGATGCAAGAGAAGTTGGAGCAGATCACGTTAGGGTTGTCGGAGACATAGACAAGATCCCACTTAGCATTCATTAAGTTGTTTTAAAAAAGGAGCATATTGTCGTCGCAGTAGTCTCTGTATTGTGACTTTACTTGACCTTTCAGATCTTGTGGCTGTTTTATACATGGCAAAAACTGGGAAGTGATCTAAGATATGGGTTATAAATAATTCCACGTGCAAGATTGTTAGGAGTGTTGTTAGTCCAGATATGATATATTACAGTGGCAGAGGTGGCAGTTACTCTGGTGGATGTGGTTATTGTGTTAAAGAAGAGCTTCGAATGACAGGTAGCGAGAAGGTGGTCTATTACTGAGGTGTCCGTCTCGGAATTTATTAGATCAAGGTTGAAATCTCCTGTAATGTAGCAGTTCCCTCTCTTGAGCTTATGATAGAGATAAGCTCCGATCATTTATCAAGAAAATTCTTTACATTAGTGTGGGGTCTTCTGTAGATTATTCCTACTAGAATATTTCGTGTGTCATTGCGTAATTCTGTGAAAACACTCTCCAAAAATTCCTCCCGAATCTTTAAATCATCTCTTACACATGCGTTATACTGAATATTAACATACAATGCGACACCACCACTGTTTCGTGAGGATTTGACACAGTGTCTCGTATAATTAGGTATTGTATACAGATGTTCAATATCATTAGTGAGTTTGGTCTCACAGAACCCACGTACACTCGGAAACCATAATCTCTAGCCCACCTGGGTCGGTGCTTGAGGTTAATACAGCGTCCTTTCTGGACGGGGGCCCACTCTAACTATCACGAGGCAACACACACAGTCATAGTACGGCTGTATAGATGACATTATGTATAAATATTGTATATGGCATTTTATACTCTGCATTATCTTCATTATATATGAACACAAAGAACAATTACCATAGGTTGTAGTTACGAAAGTATGAATGGAAATAAACACTTCCAAACCACCCAGTGAATCCACACAAAGTTTACAGCACTTGTGTGTGTGTGTGCCAGACCACGATGCTTCCACCACACCCCATCTATATCTTTTAATTTCCCATCATTTGCGTAACTATATGAAAAATCGTGTTTAATTTAACTACATATTTCAAAAACCTTAAATTACATGTGGATCGGTCACTCCTCATTTGACACACTTATAGTGTAATACTTTGACCATCCCACCTGGGCACATGGAGGCCCACGGTAACTCTCACGGGGCAACATACGCACGAACACACAAGTTATGATATGAACCCTTCCAGGCTTCACTATCATTATCATGTTATGTTCATCATGCTCTGTATCTTGGTAACTAGTCATAGTATTAGTACATGACAGTGTTATTAGTATAATATTGTAACTTTTGCCCTACAGTTATTGATGTAAATCAAGGACAGGAAGGATACATAAATTGTAATATCAAGTGTATGGTTCGCTCAAAGCTACCCCAAGTCAGACAACGCGTCACATAAAGTTACACTGTCTGTGTGTGTGTGAGTGAGTGTGTGTTCTGTAACATTAAGCTTCATCCTTAGTAGGTAAGATGTTTCATAAAGAGGTTTCTCCCATTCGTCATTGTGAGCATCGTCCCAGAGCACATTGTTTCCATCAAAACCATGGTTCATCCTTATTTCCCTTCTTCCGTGTAATTATATCCATATGGCTAAGTGCTTGCTTTTCATTTCTTTATTTACCAAAATAATGTGGATCAGTTACTCGTTATTTAACACATATATGCACTTAGAGCATCAAGATTGTTTTGTAGGCATGACTATTGGTTAATTGAAACCCCAAAAATATTTTTCACATTTATTATGCATAAACATTGTAAACATATCTATGTGATTATTGTAGTATATAACATATTTAATGTCTGGACAGATTCCCAAGAGTTAGGCATATTAATGCATAGATTTCGTAAGCATATTTATGTGAAGTGACGTAAAACCACAGAGTAAAATACCTGGACAAATTCCCGAGAGTTAGAAAACGAAGTCTATGTGGCCCCAACGAGGTTACACCAGAGAGCTAACTCCCCCGCCACCCCCTGCAAGGCACCGTCGTGGGCGGAGATTTGATTCTTGACCATAGGATCCCGAGGCAAGGCTACTACCACTAAGACACCTCGTGCCCATAGGTTAATACCGTGTCCAACCTCCATCTGCTGCTATAACTTCGCGCAATCTGGTGGGCATGGAATCTACCAGATTGCTGCAGATGTTCGGCCTCCTCCTTATTCCCTCCCACACATTATGTGCGTGTCTCCTCACTGCCTCACTCGTTTTCTCCTCAACATCCCATTCAACAACCATATGCGCCCATAGATTTTCTATTGGATTACAATCGGCTCCTTTAGGGGGCCAGTCCAATAGAATAATCTGCGGGTGCGCCTCAAACCAACGCTTGACTGCCCGACTTGTATGTATTGGACTGCGGTCTTGCACCATACATATAGGCTGTGGGTCTGGGATGGCATATGAGTTGCTGGGAGGATGGTTAGCAGTCCTGTTGAACTGGCAGGTAGACAAAATAGAAAACTCACAGCCAAACTGTAAGAAAACCCATGGACAATGAGACATTAGTAAAATATACTAGGTCATTTTAGCGCGTGCACACACATTATATACAGACCTATTGGTCCTTGCGAGGCTGTTTGGTTATGCTATGCTAACTAGTTTGCTAGGGTGAGGGAAAGTATATATATATATATATATATATATATATATATATATATATATATATATATATATATATATATATATATATATATATATATATATATATATATATATTTAACTCTTCTCAACAAATGCAAGGATGAATTATACGACTTACCCTTTGAGCAACCGTGTCCACACTGATACGGCATGCCTCCCTACACACGACGTCAGGTCGGTCATTCCTATGTCCTTTGGTTCTTCATTTCATAACTCCAGTGTGTGGTGTGCCTTCCCTTACGTCCAATGGTTAAACGAGATTTTTTACGGTTTGCAATAAAATGCAATATTACAGTATATTAATATAGATTTTTCTTCATGTATTGATACTATGATACTATGACTAGTTACCAAGATACAGAGCACGATGAACATAACATAATAATGATAGTGAAGCCTGGAAGGGTTCATATCATAACTTGTGTGTTCGTGCGTATGTTGCCCCGTGAGAGTTACTGTGGGCCTCCATGTGCCCAGGTGGGATGGTCAAAGTATTACACTATAAGTGTGTCAAATGAGGAGTGACTGATCAACATGTAATTTAAGGTTTTTGAAATATGTAGTTAAATTAAACACGATTTTTCATACAGTTATGCGAATGAAGGGAAAATAAAAGATATACAGTAGATGGGGTGTGGTGGAAGCATCTTGGTCTGGCACACACACACACAAGCGCTGTAAACGTTGTGTGGATTCACTGAGTTGTTTGGAAGTGTTTATTTCCATTCATAATTTCGTAACTACAACCTATGGTAATTTTTCTTCGTGTTCATATATAATGAAGATAATGCAGAGTATAAAATGCCATATACAATACTTATACATAATGTCATCTATACAGCAGTACTATGATTGTGTGTGTTCGTGCGTGTATTGCCTCGTGATAGTTAGAGTGGGCTCCCGTCCAGGTGGGCTAGAGAATATGGTTTCCGAGTGTACATCAAATTTGTGGACAATAGAAGCTATACACTTATCTGAAAAGGTATCTAAGTGAAGGGGAATACTGCTGATGTTATGACTAATTATGGAGGACTGGGGTAGCATGAGGCTGGAGCTAAACTCAGGAAAGTATTAGTTACAACTGGGGTTGTAACCCAGTGAGTTTTGTGTAGAAAGGAATCAGGGTCAATATGAGGGAGTATTGTGTCGACATTATGGGTTGAAGGGGGTGTAACATATACGGTCCAGTACATTTAGGGAAACGACACTTGCAACATCAGTGTGGAAATATTGGTACTGACTAAGGAACAGCAAAAACTCAGGGTCACTGGTGTGTGAATAGGGAAGGTCAAAGAAAGTTATAATACTGGGGGTAACGTACTCACAAGTGCTACAACCAACAGAAGTAAGATGACTGGTGCTGTTGGGGGAAATATTTAACCTACGAACCTTTGAGAATGTGGATTAACCTCTTCACCATATTCCAAGGGGGCACGGATATCAAGGGTGCCTGTCCTCTCCTTATGAAATGTTTCCTTCGTCTACCTTACGCTCTCAGGATTTATCATCCCACGAGGATTTTATTTTCAATTCCCCATCCGATTTCCGTGAGAAGCAACTGCTCCAAGTAGTCTTGCTAATATTTAGAAATTAGATGCAAATAAATAATTATTCAAAGATTCATAATTAATCATTCATGTATATTCAGAGGTTAAGTTGGCATGGTAATGTTTTTGGAGCTTGGATGGGAGATTTATATCTCCCAACTCAATTTAATTTGTGTACTTTGCGTATGGGTTACCTTAAAGATTCACTGTTTGCAGTACACTTGCGAATTTGGCCCCGTAGGCACATAATTAACGTGCCACCTTAACCCATGATATGACCTATAAAGTGTTAAGAATAACTCTGTTTTTTTTTCTCTCTCTCTCCAATGTATTAAAACTATGTATGTTGTGGTACAGGGAGACAGTGGTGGGCCACTGGTGGCGCAGATAGGGGGTTACTGGAAACTGATTGGGACGGTGAGCTTCGGGTACCGCTGTGCCTGGAAGGAATCACCAGGCATCTTCGCCAGAGTCGCCAAGTACATTGACTGGATCGCCAGCCACACCTATAAGGAGACTTGTTAATCTGCTTCAGTGCGAGCAGAGGGGTGGCGAACTTTCGTCACGATCACCACCAGCACCCACAATGATTGTTCATCGGCTCCTGAGTTCCACTGCCGACAGAAGGCTAGCAAACGTTTGTCTACCACAGTTCTCACACACACAACATTTGTTAACTTCCCACTGTCTTGGCATGGTTTCTAAACAATTTGGTGTTTTTCCTTGTTCTCTGCATATACTTTGTGTGTGTCTGTGTATGTGTGTGTAATAATAATAATAATAATAATAATAATAATAATAATAATAATAATAATAATAATGATAATAAACGGTTTACTAATAGAGTTGCAGCCGGTGGCTGAAAATATACAAACTTACATTTGATTTAGACATAATGATATAATATGCGTTGAATACATTTACAGGGCTGTACAGTACGTAAATCAGGAGTTGTTTATTATTTTAACAATAGATGGGATGGTGCTATTCTTATATCTATCGGTGCGGGCACTTATGGGCTGAATTTTGTTGTAGTGGCGCACCACGCAAGGTGGGTGGAGGACTGCCGGTGGCAGGAGGTGGCGATGACGAGGATGGTGCAGTAGTCCACTGCCAAACCTTGCTAGTGCTTGGTGGTGGAGGTCACTGAGGGATGGCATTTCCAGGGTGGAGAGAGCGTTGATGTAGCCGGAGTAGTCTGCGCCGAGCATGATTCTGCAGGCCCTTTTCTGTACCTTCTCTAGCCGACGTTGTTGGGTGGAGTTGAGAGAAGACGACCAGGCTGGTGACGCATACGTTAGTTTGGGGAGAATAAAGGGGTTGTAGATTGTCCTCCACTCTGGCGTGGGTGTCCCAAGTAACCTAAGTCGTCATAGCATGTAGAGTCGGTACGAGGCTCCTTGATTGTGTTGTTTACATGGGCCTTCTAGTCCAGCTTGTGGTCTATGGTAACACCCAGGAGTTTGGCAGACTGCACTAACTGGAGAGGATGGACACCCACTGTGACTGCTGGAGCTTGCACTGGACTGGTGGCAGTATTGATGTGCATGACTACGGTTTTGGTGTGGTTGATGGCGACCTTGTTCTCCGTAGTCCATGCCTGTAGCCTGTCCAGGGTGCCTTGTAGCGATGAGTAGTCTGTTCACTGTAACCCCCATAGTGCAGTCATCTACGTACTTCCACCTGTGAGGAGTGTCCGATAGAGCGTCGTTGATCAGGATGAGGAAGCACAGTGGTCCCATCTTGGTCCCCTGGGGAACACCGCAGGTGAGATGTTGGAATGTGGAGACAGAACCCTGATACCTCTCTGCCTGACGACGTCCACTCAAGAAATCAGTGAGCCATGAGTCCAGATTGGTGGGCAGCCCTAGTGCAATGGCCTTGTTGATAACAGTGGTGATCAACAAGGTCAAAAGCCCTCCTGAAGTCAACAAGGGCAACGGCCAGTGATGTGTGTGTGTGTGTGTGTGTGTGTGTGTGTGTGTGTGCCGAATGGGGTACCCGCAAGTCCTTCATCACAAAGATTTACACCAGGGTTAGTTTGATGAAAATTACTAAGAAATCGAGGAACTCCCCTTTGGTAACTCATATCATTGTCTCGTCGCAGGGTGGTCGCTAGTCTCGATTCCGTGTTACAGCAAAGTAGTAATAATAATACTGCATGGGTTAGTGTGTGTATGTGTTAGTTTGGCAAGTGTAAGTGTTTAAATGTGTTAATTTGTGCGTGTGTTAGTGTGTACATGTGTTAATACAGGCATGTGCATAAGTAAGTGTGTTTGGTTTTTGTTTATATCTGTGCATGTGTTAATTAGTGAGTGTATTTGTTTAGTGTTGTGCTAGTGTTATTTCACCATCATTCAGGAGCTAGTGGGTTGCCTCACACCATTGACAAACTGCTAGTCCACTAAAGGGATTGTTCCATAATCGGATAGTGTGAATGGACTCGTATAAGTTCAAAGAGAGGATCCAGTCCTCCCTTCCTGCCAAGAATTGAACGCTGGATCCTTCACTTGCAAGATGAGTGCTCAACAAAGGAGCTACGGAATCTTTATATATATATATATATATATATATATATATATATATATATATATATATATATATATATATATATATATATATATATATATATATATATATATATATATATATATATATATATATATATAGGGATAATCGCCGATTAAGCTTTAAAATGCAACTAATATTTTTTGTTGAATAGGGGTAACTTTTTTTTATTTTTCATTTTATAATTTAATGGGGGGAACCTTTAGGGGCACGTGCCCACTTAGACATACAGTAATTAAATGTGTCCTGGCCCTGAAACATGGGACAGGGGACATATCTACAAGCTCGCAAAGTTTTCACACACAGTCTGGTGAACCTATTGAACGGTCTACCAACCCAAACTGGAATCAAGAACAGTATTGAACTTCAAAAAGTCTTTGAGAAAATTATCAAGAACAATGGAGGATCCTACACAGGCCACTAGTGAGTGGCCATTGGGTAAATAAGTGACCCGGCAGTATTATTTTACAGTCTACATTATTTACACGTCCAGGAATCATTGATGATAGACAGTAGCTGTATAATCTACTGTCTCTCCTCAAGCCAAATATGCACCAACAGGGAACTGTACGTGTGGCGGGGAAGGGAAGGGGTAGATGGGTGAGGCCTGACCAGAATGGGCTAACCCTGACTGCATTGTTACCCAACAAATTATTATCAAATTGGATGTGATAGTTGCGTGTGTACTACATGTTTATTGTTATAGATAGGTGTGCTTCCCCTTACAATTGTTTGCTTTGGTACCTGATAGTTCATGTATTTTTCGAGTTGATTTTTACATTTGTAAATCTGTGCAAGTGTAACTGCTTAGCTTAAGTGTTTAAAAAATGTTAGTATTAGTAAATATCTATGACCATTTGCTCTGTGAGCTGGAAACTCGTTTCACCCCAGCTTAACAACATGCACTTTTGGGGCTCTCGCTTATTCCATTTTTATTGAAGAATGACTCGGAATGTTGGAAAAGGTTTCTAAAATGTAATGAGTCAATGGTCAGTAATCTTGCATCACCAGCGTGTCTTGAAACAGAACTGGAGTGCTGACAGCAGAAATGGAATGATTTGGAGGCTGACCTGCCCAACTCCCTGACAGCTACAAGTGCACAGGGAAACCTCACCTTTATTTTATTCTAACATACACATTAAGTTCCAAGTCAGTGCAACCTTAACAGTCACTTCATGTGAACGTCAATGTTCCTTCAGTCAACTGAGGAGTCTCAAAAGTTACCTAAACTCTACAATGAAGCAAGACAGATTATATGGTTTCGCCTTGTTATACTCTTCTTTAGTGTAGTCGCTTAATCCTAGGCTTACTTAACTTAAGGTCACTGCCACCAGACCACAGGACAGTATGTGTAGTGTTCTTTAGGTAGCTGGCAGAGCAATCCATGCAATGTGAGTGTACTGCGTACATTAGTACTGGTCTCTGTTACCTCTTTGGATTCATAATTATAACCGCTGCATAACATTCAACCTCACCGTGCTAGTGGGAAGTGTCACAGAAAACGGTAAACATTTGGAAAGGGGTAATTTGTATGCTGTATGTTTTATACGATTTATGCCAGTGTCCGTGCATCTAATCTCAAGTTGTATACTGATAGTATTAAGGGAGAACTAAAGGCACCTATATGATGATTGGGAAGTCCCAATTGATACGGACTGTTCGTGGTTATTCATTACCTGGGGTAATAATAATGATGTGTATTAAGCTCACACCTTAAGATATTTTCCATGGAGTATAGTTTATAAGTCAATTCAAACACTTCACACATATCTGATAAATTTATCCTTTTCCCAGATAATTCTCAAATATTTTCCACTGCTACCTGAGGTAGCTATGTTTACTAATCGTACACAAACGTAACTACCATAACTTTCAGACCCGGTCACACTTATTCACTATAGTACACTAGTCCTTATCAATTGGGCCTTCCCAATCATTATATAGGTACCTTTAGTTCTCCCTAAATACTATCAGTATACATACTTAAGATTATATGCACGGACACTGGTATAATTCGTCTAAAACCAGTGGCGTAGCTTGAATGTGTGCCGCCCGGGGCGGCCCTTGAGTTTGCCGCCCCCCGTGCCCCCACAAAAAATACATATTGCACAGTGACTCACTATATATATATATATATATATATATATATATATATATATATATATATATATATATATATATATATATATATATATATATTAAATAGTTTGTGTACCAATATAATATTACTGTACTTTCACATACTCAAATATAGTATGCTTTAAATACACCCCAAACATACTTAAACTTTATAAGTAACAGTTAAACAAAAAGCAAAAACGACATATAGGATAGGGAAAAAAGTAAAAAAGTGTAAAAAATTAGGACCATCTTTATTTCTGAAATGAAAACTACAACTTTCTACAAAGTAACTTTTCTTGTTTTTTTGTTGGCAAATTCTTCAATGACATTGTCAAAAACTATTTCATCTGTCAATTGTCGCTCTATAGACAGTATGGCAAGATTTCTCAACCGCAAGGTGCTCATAGTAGATCTTAAGTAATTCTTGATCAGTTTTAGTTTCGAAAAACTCCTCTCACAGGTAGCAACACTAACAGCAATTGTGAGGAAAATCCTCAGCATTATTACTATATTTGGAACCGAGTTCCCAAGGTTATACTTTTGAATAAACTGCAAAAGTTCAAGGGGGCCTTCTTTCCACGTCTATATTCTGTCTTTAATAGTTATAGCAGCAACAGCAACAGCAACAAAATGCTGAAGTCTTTTTCTCTCAACGAGGAACTCCTCTTTATCAATGTCGTCGTGATCGTGATCTATTTGACACTCATATTTATCATCCAAAAGATTCAATGGGGTAAGGAAGGCATATTTCTCAGCAAGTTCATGAAGCTGTTGAAATCTCAAAGTTATTTCTTGGATCACTCTGTCCAGCGAAGAAAACATTTCTCTTCTCAATTCAATGTCGTATGGCAATTCAGCATCTCGTGATCCTTCACCAAACATTTGTTTCTTCTTTTTGGGTCGACGCTGACGCTCCATGACTATCCCCAGATCATTGCTCACTAGCTTGTCCCTGTTTTCAACTAGAAATGTTTCTAATGCCCTGAGTTTTATATCACATTGTTGTATGTTCAAGCCCTTGGTTTGGAGGTAAGTCTGTGTGTCGTTAATTTCTAGAAGGACGGGTCCCCA